ATAATAAATTAAAAGATATAAAATAAAATGAAATAAATTTAACTAAGTGAAACAAAATGAAATAGAGTAAAAATAAATAAATAAAAAAAACAGAAACAGAAAAGAATTAAATTAAAGTAATAAATAAAAAAAATAAAAGAAATTTAAATTAAATTAAACAGAATGTATTGAAATAAAATAAAATAAAATAAGATATATAAAAAAAAAAATTAAATAAAATCTAATTAAATAACATAAAATATATTAAAATAAAATACAACAAAAAATTCAAATTGGAAGGAAAAAAATAAAATTAAAGTAAATTTAATAAGGAAAATGATTTAAAAAAAATAAAATAAAAAATTGATAAAATAAAATAAATTAGTATAAAAGAGATAAAATAAAATCTATTAGAGTGGCATTAAACAAAATAAAAATAAGACAAAGTTAATTAAAAAAAGACAAAAAAATAAGATAAAATAAAATAAAATATCTAAAATAAAATATAATAAATAAAATAAATTAAAAAAAATACATAAAATAAAATAAAATAAAAAAATATAATCAAAATAGAATAACATATAATCACCAAAATTAAATCATAATAGAATAAATGAAATAAAGTTCAGTTCAGACAAACAAAGTGAAATAAATTAAAACAGAGTAAACAAAAGAAAAATAAAAAATAAAAAGGAAATAAAAACAAATAAAAAAATAAATTAAAATAAAATGAAAAAATTAAATAAATTGAAATAGAGAAACAAAAATAAAATAAGCTTATCAAAATATTAATTTATTCAAAATTAAAAAAAAAAAAAAAATAAAGTGAAATAAAAATATATGAAACAAAGTAAGAGAAAATAAAATTTAATAAATAAATAAATAATAAAATAAAACGAAATTAAATTAAAAAAGGCATTGAAATGAAAAAAAGTTGAATTAAAAAAAGAAAATAAAAGAAGATAAAATAAATTTTATAATTTGTTTTGCGGCCATGCTATATGTTAATTTTTATTAAGTAAACTACGAGGCCTAGTTGTTTGTATGAATTGATTATATGGCTGATGTTGGCGCAGTGGTACAACACTCGCCTGTTAAGTCAGGATCCGTTGGTTCGATCCCTGCCATAAGAAGTCTGATGAGGAGATGTGGTGATCTGCGTGACAGCTGTTTCTTACATTTTTTCTTTGTTGTATAACAAATATTCAATTCATACAAACAACAAGGCCTCGCAGTTTACTTAATAAAAATTAAAATAAATATTAATTAAACTAAATGTATTTAAATAGTAATTTTAAAAATATTAAAAATATTAAATAAAATAAAATTTAATTGAATTAAATTAAATTAAATGTATATATATAGTATATAAAAATTAATAAAAAGATAAATGAAATAAAATAAGTTTAAACAAAATATATTTAGTTAAATTAAATAAAATAATATAAAAAATAAGAACCTAGTAAAATGTTAATATAAAATTAATTGAAAATGCAATTTAAATTAATTAAAATAAGAAGAAAAAAATAAAGTAATAAAAATAATGCAAAATAAAATAAAATAAAATAAAATAAAATAAAATAAATTAAAATAAAATAAAATTGAATTAAATTGAATGTAATTAAATAGTATATATAAAATTGATAAAAAAACATTAAATGAAATAAAATAGGCTAAAATAAAATATATTAAATAAAAGTTAATAAAATAATATTAAAAATAAGAAATAAATTAAAAATGAAAATAAAAAATTAAATAAGAAATTAATGCAAAATAAAATGATATAAAGTCAAATACGTGAATAAGAGAAGTTTTTGATTAAAGACATTTAAATTATATTTAAAGTGTATTGGTAAGATTTATGTTATATATTCAGTTACTTGATATTTCTGTATGCTTATTTATAACTTGTTTTCTAATACTTGGCAGTTAATGTCTTAAATCTTATAACCGACCATATCTGGGGTTGTGGAAAGCAATCGAAAAATTCCTTTGATTAATTTATTCAACTTTTTTTTGGGTAATTTTCCACTCTTCACTATTAAAATATCTGCATAAACATTTCTCAATGCTTTCACTCAGTGCTTGCTTGTGGTTGTTGGTATGGAAAGCTTAAGCCATTTCTAAAATTTAATGTGTATGTATGTCACTGTGAGTACACCTGATAAAGTAACCGCTTACCAAACACTTAAGAGGATTACCAGCAACACACATCAATCATGTCACAGAAGAAGAAAATTTATTAGAGCGCAATTTAAGTAAATTTCAAGTAAAGAATTGAATAAAATTTGTTTCCAGTTGTTTTTGGCTAGAGGGAAATAGTAATAAAGTCAGGCGTTACCAAATTGCAATGATACTCAGAATAATATAGAGAAGATAAATAGAAGAGGAGAGTTCATGGTTCAATAACAACAAAAATCAATTTGTAGGAAATAGCAGCAACAAAGCAATAGAGAAAAATTTCATTAAAGCTAAAACAACTTAATCGAATAAACGGTTGGGGAGTGTGGAAAACTAGCAAAAAAAAAACTTACGCTCATAGCCAAATTGCCAGCGAAAAACTAACAAAAGCGGAATCCCCAAAACAATAGTGTTAAAGATGGCGCATTGTAAGCAAGGCGAAAAGCTCGCTTGATAAACGTTTTGCTACCGTTAGCTACGCTCGATAGTCACTCTCTCACTCTTATGCTTTGCTAGCTTACTGCAGCTCACTCTTTCTCATTCACTGCACTGCCTGCGCGTGGAAAGGTTAATTTGGAATTTTATGTGAAAAACGTGCGAAACGTGACCAATTGTAAAATTAGAGAATGCCGTTGCTGATAAAATACAAAAAGGGAAAATTTCACCTTTAAATGTGTTGGGGGAGAGCATCATACTTTTGCTGCCGGCATTTAAATAAGGCTTGAGTGAAATGTCAAGTGCAGGCAAATAGTAAAAAGTGTTGTTGTAAGCTGTTTTTGTATAGCCATAAGAGAGTTGTTCGGAATGTCACTACCTTTGTTTTTTTATAATGTTTTCGAGGATATACTTGTTTTGCGTGATGCGGCGTTGTAAAATATCACACTGCTTTCTGGGGAGCTTTGGTGATTCTCAAGGGGTTGCCAAAGCTTTTTTATTGACAGATTTTGAAAAAATTCTTAGAAGGATGCAATTGATTTAAATCTAATGTTTCAAAACTGTTCATAATATGTGTAGATCTTCAAATGAACCGTTCGAATAAGGTTATTTCCGGTCTGATAATATTTTTATGAAAAATTTTTTAAGAAATTTTTTTAAGGGTATCTACATCTTCAGCATCTTTAGGTAATTTTTGCATTATCTGAAGCTATTTGGGCGAGATTATGTAGATTTATAGTGAAGTAAAAAAGTCTTAACCAATGAAGTCAGGGTCTGAAGGGATTTTTTGCATTTATATGGAAGATAAAATGTTCTTCTTGAAGTATATTTGAAACTATACCATTTCAAAAATTGTAAATTAATTAATTCAACTATAAATTAACACAAAAACTTTGAGAAACTAATGGCAATCCTATTAGCTTTGGCTGCCTGAGAGTATTAGCTAATGGTTGAGTACTCCAAAGCAGCATGAGTTTGGCAGGTAGGGGTGGAAGAGAGAGCTACTGTGCGGTTAAATATAAGCTTAGCGGCAAAGCAGAAATTATCAACGTGAACTATTGTAACTGAGACAACAAAACAAGTATGAAAAGGTTACCCTGGCAATTAGGGATGGTTGGAAAAGGATATACTAGAAAATGTGACAAATCCATTTGGTACTGAAGGCATTTCGTGGTCATTTGTCATGGCGACAATTATGTAAGTACATGGAAGGGTATAAAGGTTGTTTTAAAGCGCTAGAGAGTTAACAAAAGCTGAAAAGGTGAAAGTTGTGAGATTCACAAGTTGTGATTCACAAACTTACGCCTTCCGTTTACAGCGTTCAATTGCTCTGAATAGAAAGCATTTGAATATATCAATATTGACATATCGTTAGAAATTAGTTTTATTTATATACAACTAGATCTATTAATTAATACTATTTCAATCATTAACATTCTCTAAATTCTTTTCGGAATACTTTTTTTTAATTGCATTATATTAAAGAAAATAAGTTTAATTTTATTTTATTTTTAAAATAAATTCATGACTTAATTTGTTTTGTTTATATTTCTTATATTTTATTCATTTGATTTAAATTAATTTAATTTTATTACAATTTTATATTTTTGCTTTAATTAATTGAATTTAATTTTGAATAACTAATTTTACTTTATTATTTACTTAGTGAATTTTTGTTTTATTTTATTTTATAATTTTTTTTATTTTTTAATTAGTTTTACTATACTTAATTTAATTATATTTTTATTTATTTCATCTTATTTCATTAAATTTTACTTAATTTAATTTCACTTTATTTTATTTCATTATAATTTGCTTTATTTTATATTTATTAATTGTTTTATTTTACTTTACATTTATATGTTTTATTTTATCTATTTTTTTCATTTTCCTTTTTTATTTTATTTTATTCAATTTTATTTTAATTTCTTTTATTGCATTTTACTTTATTTTATTTTATTTTACGTTTATTTTATTTATTTCCTTTGCCTTTACTTTATTTTATTTTATTTTGTTTCATTTTATGCTTTTTATTTTATTTTATTTTATTTTATTTTATTTTATTTTATTTTATTTTATTTTATTTTATTTTATTTTATTTTATTTTATTTTATTTTATTATATTTTATTTTATTTGATTTGATTTGATTTTATTTTTTTATTTTATATTATTTTATTTTATTTTACTTAATTTATTTTGTTATATTTTCATTTGTTTTATTTCTTTGATTTGTTTTAATTTGGTTTTGTATTAATTATTTTATCTTTTATTTTTTTTTTTTACTTTATTTTTTTTTTAATTTTTTTTCTTTTTTTAATTATTTTTTTTTCATTTGTTAATTTTTTATTTATTTTTTATACGATGTATTTCATTAAACTTATGTCCTTATCTTTGCCTTACTCACCTATAAAAAACCAGACGTGCGCCCGCCCGTACAACTGCTGCTTGTACATTTCGCAGAGCACACGCCGCGCCGCTACTACATAGAATAGACCAACTATGATGCGGGCATCTTGTCGTCGTAGATTGCGTACAGCATCTGTGGGATCGGATAGAAATGATTGTCTTGTGACGATTTCGACGCCAGCTTCCATGCAACGATTTTCGAGATCTTCAACGGTCTAAAAGAGTGGAAAAAGAGTGAAAAAAAGAGAAAATAAAATTTAATTCTAAATATAATATATAGGAGCATATAACAGATGAGATTTGTGCCCAAATGTAGGCAACAAATTTTTAGTAACAGCCATACGCTATTTAAGTAAGCTATTTAGCTCAATTAGGAAAGTATTAAACGCTGTTGTGTATTAATATTTATCTGCAAAAATAATATAATATTTTGGGCCAACAAACAGGAAAATACCACTAAATCCCATATTAAATTAATGTCAATATGTAGGGAAATTCATTTATGAAATTATTATTGACTAGAATCAAAACAAATAGACTGTCAGTCTACAATGTAAGCAACTGGTAAATGTTTATCGCATGAAATATCTTAATATTATCAATTAATATGTGCCAGCAACTATTCAATCAAAGATTATTGAATTATGCCTGAATGTGCATATCAATATGCATTCGCTTCAAAGTGGTATACATATATATATATATATAACTGTAAAAGTTTGTTAGAATCAATAAGCACATGATTGTATTTATTTATTTACACACGTGCTTAGCAGTAATAGAATTTCGAAGAAACAGCATAGTTGTGGAATATGTTTGCGTTTCAATGAGAGCCTAAAGGTATGCTGTGAGCTCGAACAATAAGATTCGTTGCGAAGATACAAAGAGTAGCAATTGACGCAAGTTTATTTAACAATAGACTCACAAATTATGTAACAGAGTAAAAATGTCATAAGGTAAATGGTTAACGTAAAAGATGCTTAAATTGATTAACATAAGCCGTAAAGTATGCTACGTTTAAGAAATTGTTGGAGCGTAAGGCAATATATTTAATATTACTTCTATAATCTAACAAGTAATCGACGAATAATATATTTAGTTCATTTTAAAGTAAAGCTTCTCTTTAAAACATTGATTTATGGTAAAGTCATTGTAACATAATCAAAATTCTTATAGAACTTAGTTAGTCAGTTAGCTTGGACAGCCTTTTCTACTTCTAATATTTAGTTTGGACATTCGTTAACTTGGCAAATACTTGTAACAGACTATTTGTTGGAGCTACATTTACCTGACATGTACCGAGCAACATTTTTTCTTTACTCATAATTCGGTGCATACTTTTAGGAGTTTATAAGAATAATTTAGGATAAACTAATTAATTTGTTTTACTCAGAACAGAATAAAATTTTTGAAAAAAAGACCGCTACCTCTTGAGTGGCGTTCACAAAGAGTTAAGCGAAACCTGGATATCACTATATTTTTCTTTTGAAACCGTGGAAACTGCGCTGTTTCTGGGGCTCTTACGAGCAGTTACAAAAACAGCAATCCATAAAGCTGATCATGAGTTCGGCCAACCAAAAGTTGATTTATAGTACTTTACTTCACCATTGAAAGAACGGATATGAGAAACTGACAAGAGCTTGGCTGTTATCCAGAGGTCCATTGAAGACCAACATCCTCCTAAGGAAGAAGAAACCTTTAACACGTTTATACATATTTATATAATTGGCATTTTGTAACCGCTAAAGCGATTTGCGGACGAGCTCCTAGTCCAATTTGTGGTTTTGGGTCTTGATGTTTTTCCAACAAATAGAGGGACCTACAGTTTATACTAAGCCGCCTCATAACGGCTGATGGTTTTCCAATTAGGAGCCTTTATTTCATGCTAGAAATACACTCGGAAATCAAAAAATTTTCCTGAAAGTCTCGGATTTCTTTCCGACGAAGGACCAAAAACTACTTTGGGGAATATTTTTGCGGCTACGAAAACAACAACTCCACCACCATAGCGGCGTTAGCGTTCCACTGTCTATTGTATTCCCCATCACAGGTACGCAAAGGTTCGAAGCCCCTTCCTAATGCCAATCTCCGTTTGTTGCAGCATATCCCAGAATGAGAGAGAGAGAGTAAAGCTTGATTCTTCCTCCACGAGAGAGTACTTTCCTCCGCAATTGCCTGCTCACTCCATAAAAACCGCAGTTGCAGGAAGGACTCTGCGTGGGTTTCGCTTTTGACATTGTTGTTGTTGTAAATTACAAGCGAAAAAAATCACTCTGTCTGAATTTAGGTTCATCATTGATATCCTCAGAGAGGTCATTAACAGTTTTTGCGCAGTTTTTCGGTGTTGCTGAGTCTATAAATCCAGCAGGCCTACCAACGGGTTAACTTTGTCTAAAAACTTGTTTCATATCGAGCGACTCGGAGAGGTTCTTTCATCTTATATTGACTGAGCTTTTAACTTTACCTAACGTCAGTTTACATAAGCTCATAAGTCTTGCAAGGATGTCAGATTCAGACATGGCGGCGCAGAGCCAGCTTCCTTTTTTGCGGTCGAAAAGTGATTTCAGGCCGACGGAGAGTTGTTATAAGTCGGACCTGTGCTCAAAGGCCTCTCGACACTATGACCCGTGATAAATATCTTGTCAGTAACGATTCGGTCGTCTCTGCAGCTGTTACGTTCTGCTAGGTTCAATGACGATCATCAGTACTACACCCAATACAGTGGTTTACGTAATTCTACATTAAAAAATTTGAGCATAACTTCCCTAATCTATACGAATCAATTTGGATTCGCCCGAAATCTTCTGTTATATTTGCACTATGGCCAAATATCCATGAATTCAACTGTAGTTTTTCAAGTGCTTCCGTGCACAGCACCTCGTGAGGAGATGAGATGAGACAATCTTCAAACGACCGCATTCGAGCAGAGGTGGTGGAGCTTTGTAGTGGCAAACGCCTGCTCATTGATAGCTCAGCTGTCAATGCTGAACGAATGAACGCTTACAGGCATTGAAGTTCATTCATACACACACTCATATATATACACATGTATGCATGTGTGTGTGCACCCAGAGCTCAACCACCACTTTTATGGAAATAAGGCAAGCGTAAAACTATCCATAAATTCGGTAGAAAATCTTTATAATTTCAAATGCTTCAATGCTTCGCAGAAACCCATGAGCTGGCGAGCAAGCGGAGCGATGCGACGCAAGTTGCAAGATGAAAGATGATAGCAGTTTGCTGTTTGACGAACCAAACAAGTTGGGTTGCTACTGAGACTGTGAGCTCTGCGAATTGGGAGAGAAAGTTGAGTGAAAGCTGAAGGCTGACGGCTGACGGCTGACGGTTGAAGGTTGTCAGCGCTGCGCTGAGGCATGTGCGTTGAGGTCTTCAAGTGGTTCAGGAAATGGAAGTGGAAATGTAAAGGGGAAATGGAACTAAACTGTTGACGTACGAAAAGTTTATGGAAATGTTAAAGAGCGGCAGTTTGTATTGAAATAGTTGTATACAATATATAAATATATAAATATATATATAAGTATGTGAGTATTTCAGTTTGTTTATCTACAGTCTTTCAATATAAATGGAAATTCGGTTACGAAATTGAAAATAACAGCACAACTTTATTGTTGTGTTGTTGTTGTTTGAGCATGTACTTGAACGATTGACTGCAAAGTTAAGCCCACATTTATGGAGCATTTACTCTATCACTGTATTTGATGGCGCATATGAGTGCATGCGCGAGTGTGTGCGTGTGTGTGAAAGGCATACAATTTGCTATGTGGCAACGTCTTATGGGACCTGCCCGAGTGAAGCACTGAAATTTAAATATTATTTAATTTAAGTTAAGGCTGAAGAAGAAGAAAAAGAAGCTGGCTGGCGCATTAGCGTTAGAAAATGGCAACTGTAGCAGAGCTTCTGCCCATTTATTTTGACTCTTCATTCCCGGTTAAGTCACGGTTATCCCACCAACATCTATAAACTCGGTTATAAAGCCCAGAAGTGTGGACTCCATCACACTCGAGAGATCAACGCTTTTGGTGTATGACTCTTGGCGACTGAGAAAGAATCAAAGGATTCAGTTGCTTGTTTCCTACCTCTGTTTCTATTATTTATTTTTAATTATATATTATTTATTATTTATTATTTTTTATTTATTTTTAATTATTTATTATTTATTATTTATTATTTATTATTTATTATTTATTATTTATTATTTATTATTTATTATTTATTATTTATTATTTATTATTTATTAATTATTATTTATTATTTATTATTTATTATTTATTATTTATTATTTATTATTTATTATTTATTAGTTATTATTTATAAATTATTATTTTGTTGCTAATTTTTTAATATTTATTATTTATTATTTATTACTTATTATTTATTATTTATTAAATGTTAATTATTATTTATTATTTATTAATTATTATTTATTTTTTAATATGTATTATTTATTATTTATTATTAATTATTATTTATTATTTATTTTTTAATATGTATTATTTATTATTTATTAATAATTATTTATTATATATTAATTATTATTTTTTAATAATTTTTTATTATTTACTGATTATTATTTATTATTTATTGTTTATTATATGTTAAATTTAATTTATTACTTATTAATTATTATTTATTATTTATTAATAATTATTTATTTTTTATGATTGATTAATTTTTATTTATTATTTATTATTTGTTAATATCGGCAAATTATATTAATATATTTAGTTTAATTTAATTTACTTAAATTATATGCACTTACTTTAAAGTTTTATAAATTTTTGGTTTTTAGTTTTACTTTATGCTGTATTCGTTTATTTAATTTCATATCATTTGATTTAATTTGATTTTATTTTATAAAATTTTTGTTTATTTTATTAAATTTCATTTCATTTTATTAATTTTATTTAATTTTTTTTATTCCATTTTTTTCACATTATTTTTAATTTGATTTATTAATTTTTTTATAGGTTTTGTTTAATTTATTTTTATTTGTTATTTCTTTTTACTTCGTTTGTATTATTAAATTTAATTTAATTTAATATTATTTTTTATGTATTTTGTATTTCTTTATTTTACATTATTTTATTACAATATTTTACTTTAATTATATATGCTCGTAGTAGATTTTGTACTATATGTACTTGTAGAAATGCTAGTTTGCTTCTTCACTTCTTAAACATAATTTCCGTGCCAC